ATTTAGGCGGGAGATTTATCCTTATTTTACTGAGTTTTTTTAATCCATTTAGCCAAACGTCCTTATTATGTAGGTACTTATATTTTCACTGCTACAGAAAAATTACATAAACTTTTATTTTTTCTGACAATTTACTTTGTAAAATAATGTAAAAAAATTATATATAATGCAATTCTTACGTACATTTTTTAAAAATTCATAAATTTTGTCATTTATTGGAAACGCCCACGAAGAAAGGTAAATTTTTTTTCCCTACTACCTCAGTAGGTTTCAAAGTCCTAGACGCACGGTGGTTGCACAGTGCGACCACCACAGAACAATGGGCAAGAGTAGATTTTTTTTAATTCATATATTCTTTGCCTCTACGATCATAATATTCAATTTCTACAATTTTTAGTTAAAGAATTTATAAAAATAATATCGCATGCTTCAAAGGGTTAACTGGGTTACAACTTCAGCAAATTTACATGAAGGTATGATACTAACTGGGTCAAACACACAGTGAAGAATGTTAGCTGCACTTAACTTTCTTCACTTGCCAACATAACCAACGTCAGGTGTTCATGTGTGTTCTGGTCAGCGAACTCTCTGTTGTTAAGTGTGCAGCAGCAGTGGTAGCAGCCAGTTTTCTGTAATGATTTATGCTGATTATTATTTTACTTTATGGTTATTAACTTATGTTCCATTGCATAAAATTTGCATATACTAACATAAAGTGAACATTTCTATATTAGGTAGATTGGGACATTGTAAGTTTTACTGGATCGCACAATCAGCATAGATGCAGATGGAATATGAACTGTAATCCTTTACCAGAGTTGCCAACTCTCCCGATTTAAGCGGGAGACTCCCGCTTTTCGACCGCTCTCCCGCCAACCCGATTTACGATATATTTCTCCCGACTTTTTCTTATTCTTAAAATTTCTCACGATTTTTATGGAACTTTGCTTAATACTTTGTTATATGAACAAAAAAAAAAAAAAAAGTAAAGTGATTTTGGACGTCTGAAAGCAATTGAATTTTCCCTAGGTTATATCTAAAACGAAACCTTGCGAATTAGATAACTTCTGCTTTGTGAGTGAGAGCATATACGTATCCAGAAACGCCGTTTTCCAGTTCTCCAATGGGCATCGTGCTCCACTGTGTGTCATCTGGCATATATTAGCCAATGAGGACAAAGCAAGCTGTTATTTGGATAGTTCTTTATTTATTTCGGTCATTTCGTAGCAAGTTGTGTGAGTACACATGCCTTCGGGAAATAGTTTTAGAAATTATCATCTTTTGTTATGTCTGTGAGAAAGGTGAACGTGTACGTTTCAAAAATCATACACAGTTGACTTTCCTTCCGTTATTTCCTCAAGGAAATGTAATAAATTTGCGATGTGTTGCGCCTGTCGTTGCGATTTTTCGATTTCGCATGGTGGAAGGGCGGATGTTCTCAAACATGTGCATACACAAAAACACAAGGACAACAGGAGTTGTTTTGAAAAAAACGAAAAATTACATTTTTCTTCAGAAACAAAGGACCAAAAAGTTATTAATGCAGAATATCTGTTCTCTGCCTTTTTACTGGAGCACAACCTGCCACAGAATGCATCAGATCACGCTGCAGTTTTATTAAGAAAAATGTTTCCCGATAGTGAAATCGATAAGAAATACTCAAGAATCAAAACAGGTGCAATTGTTAAAGAACTGCATTTGAAAAATAAATCTTCAGTTATTGATTGCATTAAAACTGCTCCGTTCTGCCTCTCTACGGAAGCAATAATACCGATTCAAAACTGATCCAAATGTTATTTCTTTTTTTAATCCAGAGTCTTTAGAAATTGAGTGCAGTTTACTTTCTGTCCCCACTTTAGAAGGACATTTGACAGGTTTTTAATATAGCACAGCTAATTATTAAAACTTTAAAAGAAAATGCAGTTCCTCTGGATAATTGCTTAGCACTTAGTGCCAATAATGCACCAGTATTGGTAGGCTTGAAGACTGGTGTTGCAGGCATCTTTAGAAAGGAAAATTCAGATTTGCAGAATGTGAGGTGCACCTGTCTCCTCTTAAATTTAGCAGCTGAAAAAGGGGGAGCTTCTTTACCAATAAATGTGGATGAACACATTGTTGATATTTATTATTATCTTGAAAGGAGTTCTAAAAGGAAGGGAAAATTGAAACAGTTCCAACAGCTGCATAACAGCAGTTTACAATTAGAAAACTTGGATGAAGTTATAAAATCAGCTAGGACTGACACCCAGTGGAGTTTAATTGGAAAACTGAAAGATGCTGATGGAATTTTAAAATATAGTGAATGACAGTTCCCCATAGTAATGCAGAGTGTGTGAGGATTTTCAGTGTTGTTGGGAAAACGAGGACTAAATTTAGATCTAATATTAGTGATGACAAATTAGAAAAACTTTTATTAGCGAAAGCAGGCCTACGTGGCAATTGCTAGGAACAAAATTATGAAATTTCTTTCTTAAAGAAGGCAAAATCTGCCACTGTTTATAACATTTGAACAAAAACTGATTAAAGTGGTTTTTTTTTTTTTTTTTTTTCAATGCAAGTAATAAAAATGTTTTTTATGTGTAAGGTATTTTTGTGTTGCTTGCATTTAAGAATTAGTTACTATTTAAAGTGAATTCATTATCAAAAACTATATTTTCATCATTTAAAAAGTCTTTTTAACATTGTGAAAAATCTCCTGATTTTTGAGTTTCATAGGTTGACAAGTATGTTCATTGTACACCGAAACATTTTCGTAAAATTTCATAAATAAAATTATCGTATACCACTTTTTATTTTTGCATTTTGTTAATGCTTAAAAAATTGTTTAGATTTATTGTTTGCTTGCTTACTTAATTATATTTTATTTAATGTTTAAAGATGGCTCATAGTCATAAGGAAACAGCATTTGAAAATTGATCATTTTTTATCATAAGGCTGGAGATTCAGTTTGAGATATCGCTAAATTAGTAAATTTCTCTCATTCTACAGTGCAAAATATGTGATTAAAAAGTTATCTGATTTGAGTGATCATTAAGGAAATGAGAGAAAAATCTGTAGCAGTATTTTTAAGTGAAAAGTTAAAAAGTTACTTATTAACATGTCAAGGTATAATTGCTTATTTTTTATTATTTATTTTAAGCTTGTGTATAAAGTGAATTTTTTAAAATAATTAAAAGGATGACATCAGTTTAAGAGAATTGAAAAATACTTTTTATTTTTTATATTTTCCTTTATCCAGCTTTTTGAGTATAGTGTTAATCTGTCATTTCCATGTGATTTTATTAGCGAATTGAGGATCTTTCAATGTTTTTCTGTTAACTGAGTAGCAGTCTCCAAATGTGCATGAAAGTGACAAATGTGGTAACCTGTTTGCTTCAGATCAGCACTAGTGTTGTTGCCAACAAGGGGAAAGAATGGACATCAATCTAGTAACTTTATATTATAGATTTTCAGTTGCTTTTATACATACAACCATTCTTTGGTGAATTTATGCCTAGTGCCAACTTTTTGCAGTTCTCTGATGTTTTTGCTTAAAAAAATTAGAGAATTGCATTCTTTGGTATCACATACAGCCTTGGTATTGTGTACATTATGCATTAGATATATTACCTTAATTATATATAAATTAGTTAGTCTTTTTATGAAGCTTTATATTTATGTTGTCATAATCTAGTTAGATTTCATGCAGACATTTATGTTTGGTGCTAACAGCATTCCATTGCAAAAAAGAACCAAACTTTCTGATACAGTCAAAAGTCGTTAATCCGGACTCGTCGGGACTTCGGCGATTCCGGATTATCGATTTTTCCGGATTATAGATCATCAGTCTAAATCTGGTAAAATGGCATGCAGAAATTATAAAATTAAAAATATGAAACCATAATTTACGAAATAAAGAAAAATTATGATCTAAAGTGTATCAAAATTTACAACAAAAAAAAAAAAAAAAAAGCTTAATATTTATTTGTTTACTAAACATTTTTTTTCAATGGTTGTTTAAGTTGCTTCGTTTTTTATGTGATAATACATTCTCTTTAATTCTATAAACAGACATAATTTCTTGTTCAGTTACAAAGTTCCGCTGTTCAAGTCCTATAATTGCTGTGTCAAGAATACTGACTAATGTCAATCGAAATTTTTTCGTTTTCAATAACCTCTGTCACTTTCTTCGCTATCGGAAGCGAATTATAATGACGAGGCATTTGATTTAAATCATATCAAAAACGGAGTACATCGAAATGAAATACTACATTTAGTAAGCAATTATAAGCCAAATAAAATAAAAACATCTGCCCTGAAGATAAGGATAGTGCTGACAGATCAACTTCCAATTCATTGCGTTAAAGATAAACAAACGTTAAAGTTTAGATAAACAAAGGATATGCCTGTATTCATTTTTTGCAGCAATTCCACTTTTTGTTTAATGGACTCCGAACCATTCTTTCGCTTTGTAGATCCGTTACATATTACTAAATATAAATCGGAAACTCTATTTGACATAATCGAAAGTTCAAGCTTACTTTTATAAAATTGCTCTAACAGTCTGCAAAAAATAATAAGCTGGATCCAATTCAAAGATTAAGGAACAACGCAATCTGCAACATTAACTGAAATAGATAATTAGATAATTTTAGCTTAGCTTACACCATCCGTTATACATTAAACATGCATTCGTAAACGTATTTTGCGCACTCAAATTCGCAGCCGTAAAGGTCTTACGCGCATGCGTCAACGCGATGCATGCACAGAAAGTTTGTAGCTTTGAGGTCCGGATTATAGATCATTCCGGATTATGGGTGTCCGAGTTAACGACTTTTGACTGTATATAGTTTTGTATTTGCTAAATGTGTGTATAAAATATGTTTTTGAGTGAATTTAAAATCTGAGAGAATATTGCACTGACATTATGTGTGAAAAATATTGAAAGTATTATTTTTTTACTGTGTTTTAACATTATATGCTATACTTGAATGAGATTTACAGTAACTTGTTTATTTTAGGGGATGCTGCATGGGACAAATACACAAGCAACAACAGCTGGTCTATTACCAACACCTGATGTAAAACCATTCTTACCTACCCCCGATGTAAAACCAATGGTTCCGCCAACTCAGCCAGTAATGTACATTATTCATTTTATTATAAATATATTATTATATGCAGCATTTTTTAATAACTAAAGCTTTTTTTTTTTTTTTTTTTTTTTTTTTTTTTTAATATATATATATATATATATATATAATCTTACCATACATAGCTTTAAAAATGTATTTTTTTACACTTAAGTTAGCATCATTTTTGTTATTTTTAATCTTTGTGATTTGGACCTGCAACCAAATCAGTATATTGTTGCCAAGAGACAAGCACTATGCCTGTCATTCGTGTAGGTTTTGGACATCATATAATTTGTCCATCTCCATCCCATTTTTGGATGAGAATCATTCCAGGGTACAAATCCAAAGATCTTCTCTTTTGAATTTTAGTGTCTGTTTTTCCAAGCAGTTTTTAAAATATATCTGCTCTCAAAGAAGTGGCATGGTGGCAGGCCTGTGTTTCAGAATCTCACCCACTAGTGTCAGCCACTATATGGAACTGAGTATTTTGCACTTGCTAAGAGGTCTTTTCACTATATGTGGTTAGCTTTAGATAGGGTCGAGACATAGTTTCGGTTTAAAGTCCTCAGAATTATTTTTAGCTGTCATCATTTGTTTCTTCTATCTGTCCATATTGCCATTCATGATACATAATCTTTGATATAACTTCTGTTTAGCAACACTTAAATTCAGCTGGTACTTCCTAAATTTTTATCAAGTAGTTAGGAATTTTGGGCTTGGTATCACTTCTTTTGGCATATTGTAAGGCTGATACTGATATTCTGTAATGGATGTAATCTTTAACTTCTGGGGAAGAGTGAAATATGTGAGAACCCTTAATTAGCTGGGATAGAAAATTAAAAAAAAAAAAGTCTAAATGTGATTCATATGAAAAAATGAATATTTATTTGCCTGGTACTAAAAGGAGCAATTTTATATAATACTTTTCAAAATATTTATTTTTCCTAACTCTTAATAGCTTGTCTTACTATCATTAATTTACTTTAACTTTTTGGGGGGGGTGAGTTAATGCATTTTTGTTTATTACTTAATTTCATATTTAAAATTTATTAATTTTAATATTTATCTATGTACCATTAAGTTAGTTTGAATATTTTATCTATTTTATTATATTTTTATTTAATTTTAATTATTTATTATTTTATTTCTTTTCGATCACTTTTCCCCCTTCAAGAAAATATTCCAGTTGTTGCATGGGCAAGAAATAAGAACACTAAAGCATATGCACCCAAGCTTGTCTCTTGGTAGAGGAATAAAAATGCTAATAGAGCAGTGAGATCTTAAGTTTTATCATGAAGAGATGAAATAAAATAATGGGTTTTAAACAGGGAAAAAGATAAGAAAGCATACTATGATGAACCTTTGCCATGAAAGTCAAACTGAATGAAAAAAATTCTGCAAAAGAAAATGAAAATGTATATATATATATATATATATATATTGAAATGAAAAGATTTCTTATTTTTATTCATCTGACTTCAACAAAGCCTTTTATAGTGTTTTACTGTCATTGCTTTCTGATTTTGATGAGGAGGGAATACTTTGTTGGTTTCACAGAAAAAATGTGTAAAATAGATAGAAATCCTAAGTATGGCATTATCAGTAAAGTTTTGAAAGCTTTATTAACCATAACTTATGGCCGGTCAGGATATAAGTACATTTTTGGCAATGCAAATAATAGTAATAAAACTCAGTCCCACTCTATGACAATACAAACTCTTAAAATTATCTTGATTCTCAAATATGAAGTGGATGATAAGTCTTATGCTGAATTTTCTGATTCCCTTTTGACAAAAGTCAGTTGCTGTGAATATGTTCAAATAAATGTTATTTTCAATATTTTTAATGGGGTTTTCTTTTCCAGTTATTTTTCTGATTTATGGGAAATTTTTTTTTACAAATTTTGCATTTTGTGTTCTCAAGTCTACTGAATGCATTTTTGTTTATTACTTAATTTCATATTTAAAATTTATTAATTTTAATATTTATCTATGTACCATTAAGTTAGTTTGAATATTTTATCTATTTTATTTATATTTTTATTTAATTTTAATTATTTATTATTTTATTTCTTTTCGATCACTTTTCCCCCTTCAAGAAAATATTCCAGTTGTTGCATGGGTAAGAATGCAACAACTGGAACAGAGTTCAACAGAGTTGAATTTTTTCCCAATGTCTGATTTTTAATCATGAAGTTGGCAGGCATGCCTTTTGAATGTGTTACCCTAACAGTATTGGCTAAAAATCGGAAAACCAGGTTTGTCACCTTCACCAATATATTATTTTAGTGTTTCACTCAGAACCATATAAACAATAAGAACCGACAATTGTTTTTGCATAGCTGCTTGAATTAACCACTTCAGTAACTGAGATTAAGTAATACTTGACTCATTTTAATAATATTTCAGTTAGAGTATTTAATCAAGTGATTTGTTCTCTTTTTAATTGAATTGACATGACACACACACAGAGATACACCACTACTACCACCAAAAAAGAGAGAAAAGTAGAGGCATACATTTATTAGCTTAAATATTAAATAGAGCTGTTCTAATTGGAGGGGAAAAAACAAAGACAGTAATATTTAAATAGGAGGGATGTTTTATTTATGCTGGAGTATTTTATTCTACAATTTGAATGTATTTTATACTAAAATTTTATTCTTTATAGTGTAATATTTATTTGATTTAAATTATTATTTTGTTTTATAATATCTGAAATTTAAGAAGCTTTATATTATGTTGCTAAAAAGAGAGCTGGCGTTATGTTTAAAAATAAAAATATTGTTAATTTTATCTATCTTTATTTCATAGAATATTCCTGCTTTAAATGAAGCACCTACAACTTTTCCTGCTGGTAAGATATTTTAAAATTAATAAATAATTAAAAGTTCAAAGCGCATTTAGCTTTAATAAATTATTTGTCATAAAAGAAGAGGTTGATTTTAAAAGAAACAAGATATGGAATTGTATATATATATGTATGTATATATTCAGAAATTAGAATTATAGAATTCAATCAGTTGTTAAACTCGTCTAATTTATATTAATTGTCAACAAAAATTTAGAACTTTTATCTGTTTATCTGTTTTAACAAAACATGTATGAAGTTATGTTTTTAAATTAACATAATAACATAAATAAAATCATTAACAGGGGTCTCCCTATCTGTTTCGAATGGGTAGATGATTTTATTAAGTAGAATTTTATTCTTATTTTATTAAGTAGAATTTTATTTAGTTAATATGTAGAAATAATTCATTATGAATTTTCCTCTGGCTCTATCTTATTTTATTATGGTGCTAATAGAATCAATTACGTTTGTTTGTCAATTTAATAAAGATATTTTTGAGCACAGTAGTTGCCACAAAAAAATGTGATACAAATTTTTTAATTCATTTCTGTTTTGGTAGCATTAACCAAATGTAAATATTAAACTATGAGGAAAAAGTAACAGCAGAATTTAACTGAATATTAAAATATTGAATGAACAAGTGTTTTTTCTGCATTTTAATTAGGGAAATGCAAAAGTTTGTTTATGAACTGTTCATAATATCTGTAATACAAAAGTTTATTTGTGAATTCTTCATAACATTCCTGGAAATTATTTGACCAATGTATCTTAAAATGTAAAGTGATTGTAAAAGTTAACACATTGAGTCCCTGGGGACCGACAGTGAACTTTCTGTTTGGCCAGCATTGGCCCATAGGAACCAGTAGTATCAAGTATAAAAAATAAATGCAGTAATTTCAATGAAATTTACTTAAAATTATTATTATTATTATTATTATTTTTTTTTTTTTTTTTTTTTTTGGCACCTTAGGCTTTCGTATACGACACAATATTTGACTGATTGCCTTTTTGATCAAATCATTCTTTTTTATCACTGGTATCATTAACACTTATGTCACAACTGCCATTGTCAAGTTCCACCGCTTGGTGTAATGAGCTATCATCTTCCAACAATGACAGCCGTAACATGTCAGCGTTTAGATGATAAAAATAATTAACTTGATGTATCACTATCTCTTTCTCTTCCAAAAATTTTAAATGAGGAGTAAATAATAATTCTAATGAGGAGTAAATAATTTAATAATTAATAAAATCAAACAAAAATTTTCTGTTCTCAAATTGTCTCTACACTTTGTTGCCTTTTTTTCTAATTATCTCTAGGAGGTCACCTTTTTGCCTTGCATTTACATATGCATTGGCTGCATCATTGCCCCAATCTGAAAGAAAGCTAAAAAGGAGAAATAAAGTAGTACTCTGTTCATTCTCCCCAATGCTTGTTCACTGCAAGCTGAACAAAAAGGACGGCAATATCAGCACCGTGCTCAACATTCCAACATAAAATTTTAAATTAAGTAAAAAAGCAATTTTAGTGTGTTGTAGATGTTTTCTGGGAATATATATATAAGTTGCAGTGTTCTTTATTTTTTTGAGGGGAGGGGCTTCTGAAGAAAAAAAGCGTGTGTCTGGTTGCCTCCAAAATCGATCAAGTTATTCAAAATCTATGCCAAGCTGAGGTTGCTTTTTTTCCTAGTTTTAAATGTTCAAGTGAAAATGAAACCAAACTGTTTGATGATTTAAGCTCTCACTTTGTTAAATTTCTCTGTGACTTCACAATTTTTATAATCTACTTTGACATTATTTGTTGAATTTATCTTTTATTTAACGACTATAAAAAAATATTCTGTAATGGTTTTATCATATTAATGAAATGATTGATCAAAATAAGGAATGTATTTTCCATGTTTTCATATACAGATGGGAAGAACTTCTGCAAATCAAGAACAATAGCTGAATAATAACATTAACCCCAATCACATTAATGTCATCCACTGAAGTTACCTTTATGTATTCTCTTCACTCTTATATCTGAAAAAGATTTTCTGTGCACCTTTTTAGTTTTATTTCAGTATTGAAATAAGAATTATCTTGATGATTTGTTAAGTGTTTCAACTCGTCACTTTTGAAACAAACTTGGAACTGAAATCATTAAAAAAAAAGGGGAGAATTAAAATAATATGATTGCGAATGATTTGATAATTAGTTGTGATTATATGTGTGCTTTAGTGTTTTTAAACACTAACTTTCACTGAAATCATTGCACATTTTAGTGTAAAATTAATTTAATTTTTGGTGTTGCTAAATTTATTTTTTGTTTTGGCAGCAGTGTCTACATGTCCAACAGGTATGATGCCTACCAATCCTATAATGACTATGGCAAGGCCAGTTACTACTCAACAGTCAAGACCCTCATTGTTGGGCGATAGACCTGCTGTAATTCCCGCTCCTCCTAAACCTGTACTTCCTAATCCTGTGATGCCTAATACATTTCCTGAAAGAGGTGTGTGCAAATTGTTAAATTTGTACGCTAACTGCTTTAAATCACAAATTCAGATATACAGTGGTGGCCAAAATTGTGGACACGTTTGGAAATTTTTATGTTTTTTAACTTTGTATGCTTATAGAAAACGTTACGTTTCACAAAATGCAAACTTGTATATATCATTTTAAAGAGAATTTATTACTGAATTCAATACAAAACACAAAATTCAATTATTTGCAATACAAAAAGTTAAACGATAATAGTTATCGATATACATTAGATAGTGATGATTGCAGTGAGTTAACAGTAATTAGTAAGGTACCCTTTATTTTTGATTACAGCTTCACATCGACGTTTCATTGAGCTGACAAGAGTTTTAAGCTCTTCTTTCGTTATTACATGATGCCAGGAAACAATTATAGCCTCAATTAGTTCCCTTTGATTTGATGGGTGCCTCATTCGGACAAGAGTTTTCAAACGGTGCCACAAATTTTCGATAGGATTGAGGTCAGGACTGTTTCCTGGCCATGACAACAATTTAATGCTCTTTTTACGAAACCACTCTTTCGATATTTTGGCCGTGTGGCAAGGAGCAGAATCCTGCTGAAAAATAAACGAAGCATTGCTGGGAAAGAGATCTCTGATGGAAGGTAGAAGTTTTGGTTCTAAAATAGTGTCAATGTATTTTCTGGCATTCAGTGTCCCATCGATGACATGAAGCCGACCAATACCATCTGCTGACATGCATGACCAAATCCTAACACTAACTGGGTTCTTCACAGTTGCTTGAGTGCAGTCAGGATGTAGCTCTTCTCCTATTTTACGTCTTACATGTTTTCGCCCATCACTACCGAATAGCGATATCTTAGCTTCATTACTCCATATAAATTGTGACCACTTATCATCTGTCCAATTAATGTGTTCTTTTGATCACTGAATTCTTTTTTTTTTTTTTTTCCATTGCTGAAAATTAAGATAAGGCTTTTTTTGTGGAATTCTACCTCTCAGTCCAACATCTGTTAATCTTCTCCTGATTGTTCTTGAACTGACAGAAACACCAGCATCATTCAGATCACTTCTGATGGCCGCTGCTGACATTTTTCTATCTTGGAGACATAGTCTTTTTATTCTTCTGTCATCAATAGATGTGGTGCACCTTTTTCGGCCTTTTCCTTCTTTGTTTTTTATTGAATTTGTCTCCTAATATCCTAAACAAAACTTTCGGACTCCAAATGTAGTCACTGAACCACCCACCTGTCTTGCAATTTCAGCATAGGAAAGACCACTTTCTCGTTACACAATAATATTACATCTCTTTCTAGGTGTCCAATCTACTCTTTTATTTGATGTCATTGCTTCTTGACTAAATATTAAAAATTTTTACAAAAATTCCTACTTGTAATTGCAGTGTATAAGAAACAGGTCCTCCTTCTACAGACCAAAGCAAAATAATGAATTTTTTCAAGTGTAAACATGATGTCAGCTTCTACTGGCAGTTACTAACATTTGATTGGTTCTCAGAACAAGAACAGTGATTGGCCAGGAAAGCTAGACATTACAAACCACTTCATTACTGTGTTTTTTATTTATATTAAAGTACATATAACATTTTTTGTATTGCAAATAATTGAATTTTGTGTTTTGTATTGAATTCAGTAATAAATTCTCTTTAAAATGATGTATACAAGTTCGCATTTTGCGAAACGTAACATTTTCTATAAGCATACAAAGCTCAAAAACATAAAAATTTCCAAAAGTGTCCACAATTTTGGCCACTACTGTATATATGTTAGCCTTTGTATGTATTGTAGTATGGTTTGCATGCATCATCAGTGTTTAGTCTTTGATTTTTATTGCAGCGTGCCTCAATGTATTGTAGGTTGTTTGCACAAGGATGAGTCATTTGAAATCTTTAGTTTTTATGTGCGTATAAAAGCTATTTTTATGTTATGCATATGCTAATTTATGAAATAAACAAGGCCTTTTTCTTACTATTTTTGTACTTGTTAGACCAGTATTTTTGACTTCATTCGATAACTCTTTCTTAATGTTCTTAAATTGACTAATTATTTAATGCTGAGTATTAACCTTTCACATTCATGGGTTATACAGATTGATTTTAACAGTCACTGTGATGAAATAAGTTCATATAATCAATTAAACATACAGATGCTTTAATAAATGAAATGGCCAATCCTCACAATCATTGAAAAACTTAAGTACTTTAAGTTTTAGTTATTCCGTCCTCTTATGCTTTAAGAAAATTTCTCAGATTTGTGGAATTTGGAACTGTTGTGCATTGAATTGCCTATTCACATTTAATTTGCTTAACTGCAGGTAAGCTAACCAATGTGCAGATCTAACTGACCTTAATTCCTTGTAGTTTCCCTTGAATCCTTCTGTATTGTATAATATTTAATTTTACATAATACAGCAATAAGGCATTCTGCTGTATTATATGTACTTAATTATAACATAACATGTAATATAACACAGCAAAATTATGGAGTACTTACAAGAATTTTTTTAAATATGTGCATGCTCTTAGTTTAAGTTAAAATGTTCAATATATGTTATTTAATTCATTTACTGTTTCCTAATGTAAATACTAATCTAAGAAATAATTTAGCTAATTCATAATTTAGCTGGAACTCACTAATTCATATCCAGAATTCTCTGCCCTTGAAAAAAGTCTTAGCCTAGAACGGAGAATGCAGTTAACTGTTATAAAAACACTCTTGCAATTAAATTTGAAAAACTTCTTTTACAGTCTTCCAGTTCAAGTAGTTCAAAAAATCTTCCCATTGTAAACATGCATTATTTTGAATCAAAATTGTTTGAAACTTTAAACTTCCCTGTATGGTTCCGCTATGTAGACGATACTTTTACCCTGTTTGAAGGTAATAAAGATGATTTAAATAAAGTCCTTTCAACAATGAATTCCATTGATCCTGCTATTCAGTTCACTTTTGAACTTGAGACTTACAATTCTGTTCCGTTTCTCGACATTCTATTCACATGTAACACATCCAACTTCAGTACTACAGTTTACCGTAAACCTTCATCGGTTTGCCTTCCACCACACTTCAAACAATGTCATCTGACTAAACAAAAGTTATCTTCATTTTGTTCATATGTTTTCCATGCTCTTCAAGTTGCTCCTCAAAACTATCCCTTGATGAAGAACTAAATTTTTTAAAAGCAATAGCTATTGACAGGGGCTTGTCACCCAACATTATTAATCCAGGGTTTGTACAGTCCTTAAGAGTCCTTAAAAGTCCTTAGATTGTTTTGGAATCGATTTTTGGTCCTTAAAAGTCCTTAATTTTGGCGAAAATCAGCAGAAGGTCCTTAATTTTAATCATCTGAAATTTCTATTTGTTTCTACGACTGAAACATAAGCATTTTGAAACTCATTTTTTCTAATAAAGAGCTCTTAAACATTTTTTTGCTTTTTGGGATGTGAATTCTTTTATTAAATGGTTCTAAATTTGGTGACTTATCAACATTTTGGCAATTTTAAGATCAGTTTCTATAAAAGAATTTTAATTCCGAGGTCTGAGATTTTTTCGATGATTTTTTAAAAACATTGTAACATTGATAAATTTCATTAAAATAATGGTAATATATTGAAATTATATTTAAAAAATCTGATGTGTACACAACATGACTTCCTTGTACGGAATAATAAATTATACGCATTTTTTCTTGCATTTCATTAAAACTTATTGGATTGAATTAAATCTACTTCGCCGACAGCGCATAAACCACAATAGAATAAATGCATTCTTTAAAATTCACTCTAGTATTTGTTTACCATGGCGACACTCTGGCGCTAGATTCACTTAACAGTATTAATAATTATATAACAGTTAACTTATATAATAATGATATACAGAAAACTAAGTTAATTGTTATATAATCCAATAATTATATAACAGTTAACTTATATATTTCATTCATATTATAACTCATAATGCACAAAATTTATATCATTTAAAGAATAGAATTATCTAATTGTTGTCACATGTTCTATTCAAATACTATAATAAAGCTAGAATGATGTATAAAAGAAATTAAGCAAACAAAACAAAAAAGAAACAGTTTTTCACAGACGATTGAGTATTTCTCATTTAATTAATTCAGTTCTCACTTCGCGAGAAGGCAAAAATACATGAAAACTCAAAATATCTATATTAAAAATTACAAAGTAAATCTTAAACACTTATTTCCTTGAAAAAATTCCAGAAAGAATTAAGCATGATTTAATTGGCAATAATAAATAATTGCGATATTTTTGTTGTTGCGAAGCTAAGTTTCTCTAGATTGGCAACAAATCCACTAGTCTCCTGTTTCAAATGTAAACATCAATTGCCGCCATAAAAAAAAGGCTTAGCGGCACTTAGGCAACTTTAAAATTGTTGATAATTCTAAAAATATTGCATACAGATTTACTAAAGGCATAAAAACCTTAACCGGAAGATAAAAACAACATAATACAATAATTTTTAAAGCAAAAAATGTACAATTTACAAACATATAAGAGTAAAGAAACTGAGATTACTGAGCCGGGTAACAGAGTGGATATATATATATAAATATATTTACATACGTTTGGTGCAGTTGATTGCAGCCAAAATACGAGGTGCACATCTAGATGTTATAGCAGTCCTATATACAAAATTTCAACGTTCGGAGGCTACTCGTTTTTGAGTTATGCGAGATACGTTCGTACAGACGCCACGAAAAATTCTCTTCAGAATTAATTTTAAAGCAGTTTTATAATTTTTTTGAAGGAAAAGGGCATTTTATTCTGTGCTTACGTACAGATATCACGCAAAAACGTCGTTAAATTGCATTCGATAGCGGTAAAAATGGATATTTTCGTTGAAATATGCTGCCTGAAACTTTTCACGATTACAATATTTCCTTTTTACTTCATACAAGGAAGTAAAAACAACATTGAAATAAAAAATTTTTATTTTTCGCTGTCATATTATAAAGTTTTATTTTGGCAA